TAAATTCCAGTTAGCAAAAACAATGAGTGGGCCTTTCTTTTTGTGCCATTGCAAAACAATAGTTTTCGACTGGAGAAAAATGTGTTCTAAGTGCTTGAACCTCTAGCTTTTCTTTAGCAGTGGTGGACCGAAAATAATTTATAACAAAACTATGCAGTCAAAACAAATGAAACTTTCTGGGGATATTCTCTAGATGTTGGTGAATGTAAAAATGGCCTTTTTAAAAATATATTGTTTTTTGTATCGAAGGAAGATTTTTAGTTGATCATTTCGATGCCTCCGACAACGATACCCGATACTCTGACACCTCCTTTGCGCATGCATTATATCGGATATCGCTATCGGGTCTGATCAGATCACCTGCCCATACTTTTTTAAATCTCAAAATGAGGACATGAAAATTGAAAGCGGAAGGATTTCTTTATTTGTTTTGTATTGTGTTGTAATCGATTTCTTAAATATCGCGTGTAAATTTTTTTTCCCGCTAAAATCGGCGGGAATCGTTGGAAGCATCTGTACACACTGGGCAAACAAAGATGGCGTCCGCGAGTGATCTCTATGCGCACATGGCTCCGATCATACCGATGGCACGCACAACATCTGTTGCATGGTTACAGTAGAGATTTAACAAGTCATGTTTTATAGCTGCGAGTGCTGAGTTGTGTGGTTATAATTACTTCATTTGGCCTGCCGCCTCGTTGGAGCGCGAAGGATGGATAACAAAGTTTAAGCGTGCAAGGTAAGGAAACTTCTTTGTTTCTTTTCTTGATGTTGAAAATAATCCCTGGAGAAGGGGAACAAAGGGACAAAGGACAAACATAAATCTCCAAACACAGCTACGTGACTGGTACGCGACAACGATACCCGATACTCTGTTTACTATTTGGAAGTTGTTCCCCTTCTCCAGGGATTATTTTCAACATTATTGTCCAGCTCGCTTGCACCTTTGCATTTAATTGCATTATAATCTTTTCTTGGTGCTTGCTGCATTGCAAATAGGCTTTTTATTATTAATAAATATCCTGAGACACTCCTAGCTATATGGTCATTGCAGGGTAGGAGCCTGAATGAATGAAGCTCTACAAAACAGACCCTTTTTTTAGCTGTCCGCTTGAAAGTCTTTGTTACCCAGTGTAATGAAATGTCAGTGAAAAAAAAAAGTGTTTTAGGCGCATCTAAAAAAGAAACTATGGATTCCTCCTGAAAGCACTGACTTGCCACATTTTACTTTAATATCCAAAATTTGCTTTTCAGATTACGTCTTAATTTACTTTTTGCATTATTAGACAGAGTGAACCCATTAGGTGTCATGCTTTCAGAAGTTGTAATTGTGGTGTGAGCAGTTACTAGTTAATAATCTTGAGTGCATTGTTAATGAATTACAGGTTTCAGTTTTCAGTGGAAAATGGAGTAGGTGTCAATTTCAGTGGGAAAATGAAGTACAGGTGTAAATTTTAGTGGGAAAATGGTGGCTAACAGCTCTCGAATACATGGAGCTGAATGGTGCCAGTTACCAAAAATGGGCCCCATTCTCGTAATATTTTTTTTAAAATCAGTTATAACTTTTAATTGAGACAAATTAGTTCTGAAACTTTGGCATTTGGTTTCGGACCGCTGACGCTATATTTGGGGGGAACGCTGTACTTAAAGGAGCCGTGTAACAATATTATGTCGAATGTTTCTCACTCTACACAAGCTTCCTGGCACCAGTGGGACCCGAAAAACTTGCACGCAATGCCACTGACCAAGGAGCTTCTTTTTTGCCGCATAATTTAGAGTAAAAGCGAATACCTCTTTTCATTCTCTCCTTTGGTTGTGGGGATAGTGTTGTCGTCATTGCCAACAACATCAATCCTCAGAACTTTGCCATAAAGCTTTGTGATACCCATGGTGACAATATTCAAGTGTGGCTCATACAGTGGACATGAGCACAGAGTGAGCATTTTATTTGAGCTTAAGACAATACCTCAACACGCACTCAAGTAGTGGCTGGTGCTCAGTTACTGCGACGACAGGAGTAGCCGAACCTTAGCAATCTGTGGAATTCATTGTGTGCCCTGTGCTTTGCCAACTACAGGGTGTGGATATGATAAACATAGGTGGCATGTAATCAGCTTCAGATCATGTGGTCACTTGCTCTGTCTGCAAGTTTAGGAGGTAAACGCTGTTAATTTTTTTTTGTTTCTTGTGAAACTGCCATGCGTGGATAGAAAATCTATGTGTTTTATAGGTTGTGAATGTCAATGAATAATCAAAAGCTGTATTTACTGAAAGTACAAGGTTTGTTGTACTCCCCCTTTAATGACGCGTCGAGCATCATACAACTTTGACCTCATGTGAGCCAAGTGTGTACCCATTTGTTGTAGGTCTAGACTTTGCTACATTCTTTCATAATGCTTCTTAGATATGCAACTTAACTGGTACATATGTTCGACATGCAGGAGGCAGAGCTGAGCATGAATGAGATGGCGATCCTGTCATCAACTGCATCAAAGTTCCGCGAAACATTGGTCTCAACGTTCAATCTGTAATATTTAGGTATCCTGCTAGTCAAAATAAAGCTTTCATTTGACATATACTCTTCACTGTTGTGCATCCTGTGCATACAATGAATGTCCAGTTAAGCTAATTGCTTGTTCTTGCTTCAAGATTTGTGCCAATGAATGGTAGCTAAAAAACAAGCAAGTGGGCTCTTTTTGTAGTTTCGAGTTTGAAAGTCCCAAAACACAACTTGTCACACTTCCAATGGGGAAAATACTAATTGGTATTTTTATAATTGGGAGTCAGAAAACAAATGGTTATGGTTCTAATTGAAATACAACCAATTGGTTACGGTTCCAATTGAAAAAAAAATGCCAATGGGTATTTCTCCAGTTGGGAGTCCGAAAACACAGATGGTTACGGTTCCAACTGGAATAGTACCAACTGGTAACGGTTCCAGTTGGTAAAATGCCAATGGGTTTATTTCCAATTGGACAAATACCAATTGGTATTTTTCCAGTTGGGAGTCCGAAAACACAGATGGTTACGCCAGCTGGTACCAATTGGAAAAACCAATTAGACCCAATGGGTATTTTTAACTGGGTAGCAACTGCAACCATGGTTGTAGAGGTTAGAACTGCATTCAAATGTAAGCTATCACTAAAGCATTTTTTATTGTATCGAACACATTCCTCTTGTGATCACAAAAGCAAGGTTCATGATAAGTTGTAAAATACTGAGCAAGTAACAATTTAAATTGAGAGAATAAATGACCTTTTGATCCAATTCAAAAGTTGAGAAAATGCAGGGGACTATGCTTTTAAGTAGTATTATTCTGTCCCAACTTCAGCATGCATAAAAGTTCAGTTCACACTACAGTACAACATCCTTGATGTTTTTTAGGGAACCTCGTAAATGAAGGCGTGATACGAGAAAATGTAACAGTGAATAATGCTCTTTGGCAGAGGGGGTCAGTTATTTGAGACACAAAGCAATTACCAATTTTTAATTTTTCTTCATGTGAACATGCATTGCTAGGAAATTAATACCTATACCCCTATGGAAGATTAATGGGACTGCCATTCGTGGAAGCAACAGCGGGGAAAGCTTATCAACTGGGAACATACCAACGAGGTTCAGCTAGCTGTATATTCATCATCTTGTTATAGACGGTTTACACACGTGCCAGATTACAGCCGCCATTGCTGACCTTCTCTTGTCTTACTAAGATGTCGAGCCACTGAGGCGGGTGTTGACGAGCCTCCACAAAGGTCAATGCTGGGGAGGACATTATAGAATCTAAGATGGCAAATACCTGGTCTGTTGTGGTAATGACCAAGTGAAGTGAACGGAATAAAAGGAAACAAAAACTGAAGGTCAATTATGGCGGCGCCCACGCACAACCGCTGTAAAGCGTCTATAGTTGTGCAGACATGCAGTGCATTCTTGTTTGGACGTACCAGCCACAGGACTGACGGCTACATCCTCTGGCACGTCATCACCTCTCCCCGTGCCACAAGAGGTGTTGCTCGAGCAGGCCAGCGGTGGTGCCATCTGTGATGCTGGGTCTGGTGCCTCTGATAGTAAAATATATATAAAGTGCCATAGAGCTGGTCATTCATCACGTGGAAGTTGCCTGGGGGAGTACTGTTAAAGTAAACTTCTCTTAATTTGACTGCACTGGGAACCAGAAATCTGTTAGAATTATCTAGATCAGGGGTTCTCAAACTTTTTGGTCTCACGGAACCCCAGGAAGCCTCAAAAACTGCCGAGAACCCCCCCCCCCCCCCCCCCCCTCTTTATTTGCCGACCGAGAAGCAACAAATGCACAACTATAGGCAATTTTGCTTGTGTTGCTTCCCATATATCCCCACCATATCAATCGCGATGTCAGTACAAAGTGAGATGAAAGCGCTTTGCCAATCCTGCCGCGCAGCCTGCGGTGGGGGAGGGGTTGCAATTTGGGTGTTCGCGGAACCCATGAGACCAGCTCGTGGAACCCCTGTGTTCCCCGGAACCCAGCTGAAGAACCCCTGATCTAGATGATTGACATAAAAGGGTGGTAAAATAAGTCAAGTGAAGCTATATTTTATAGCCCACAGATGTCTGATCGTTTGCTGCCAAACATGCACCTGAAACCATGCACCGGAGCATGTTTCAAAATGTGAAAAAAATAAGCAAAGAAATTTGTACTTAAGCATTACTCCAATTCTACGCAGCTAGAGTTCGCTGACCAAAGCCCGCAACCTTGGTCTCAAGTTTAGGGCGTACTACTGCACTCCGTTCACGGGGTGAGGTTTTCTTTGCGTTGCTGCACATCGCAAGGCTCTGTTTTGGGCCCCTGCTTTTACCGTACAATTTTCACCTCTTTACATCAAACCAAGCTTCCATTGCACACCAATATTGCTAAGAAACCTGCACATGCGACCTTATATTTTCTGGAAAGTTAGGTGATCTGCTGCTGACTTCCAATCATCTTCGCTCTACAAACCGAAATAGTTGAAGCAGCAGAAGCAGCCTTAGCAAACTGGAAACAAAATGGTGGTGTCAGTTACCCACTGCTAGGAGACTGTCATAGTTTTCAAGCGTGAGCTTTATAGGGTGAACCAATCTCAAGAGACTCGCAGACGTGAATCATGCAAGCGGAGCTGACAAGGAGGAGCCACGTCTAACCACCACCGACCACTCCGAAAATTCAAACGCTTGCTCTGTCAGCAATGTTTTCAGATTAAGAGAATTCACTACACAGCTTTCTTTGAGAGGTTATACAGTAGTACTTTGGCACACATCAGTGTGTTCGATAAAATGACTTTGTGGCTACTATTGTCTGCTTGAAAATGCAATCAGGCTTGGAAATGCTATCGCTCGCACCTTTGCCACCCTTGCTGCGTTAACCAAAACTTTTAAGGGCTATGCTAAGCAGTGTAGCAGAAAAGCACTTAGAGATCTTTATGCTCCAATGTTTTTTCCCAGAAAGCTATATAAAATATTCACAATATAAATCTACCTTGAACAGGCGGGGCCACGAGAGGGGGCACTTCAGACACTTTTGAAGTGGATGCTGCAGGCATAGTAGTGGGCAGCTTCCTTGTGGCCCTTGCAGGTGACGAAGGCAGCTTTGTGCTGTTAGCTGTTGCCTCTGTACAATAAAAATACAAAACGAGGAGAAATAAGAAAACTGTGAACAACATTATTCTAATACCGGGAATCTCACCAATCTTCAGCAGTAAGGCATTTGTCAGGCGACGGTTTGTGTGCTCCGACCGCTCGAGCTTCACTTCCAAACGCCTGATTGTTCTTTTGGCTCGCCGGAGTTCACTCTTTAGACACAGCTCGTCGTCACCACTTGAGTCCGTGTCTGAGTGGCTATGCTGAGGAGCACGGCTGCGACTTTTCGGTGGCAAGAACTCCCCCATTCGACGGTCCTGGGCTATTTTTTTTTTCCGCTTCATTTCTTTGGCAGTCGGAGCTGCACCATTAGCAGGCCTCTGCTTCTTTGCAGGCCCTGACGTTTCATTTTCGTGGGACCTGGGTCGCTCCACTTCTTTCTTTAATAAAAAAAAAATATATATATATATCTGAATGTTTTGCAAAGATTACAAGAAAACAGACGACAATGTCAACAATCCGTGAGCGCAGACAGAACCCTAAAGAAAAAATAAGCATATGAAATTGTACGCGGCAGCAAAGGATGTTTTGCTCAGCTTTAGTAAATCTGTTTTCTCAGTGCTGTACAGAGCAATGCTCATACAGTCTCAGCTAGTAAAAAACAAGTGAGCAATGTTCACTAGTATAGCCCCAATTTGACAAGTCCGGTATTTCTTATTCATGCCATCTTATCCACAAAGCTTGGCTCTTAGGCCTTACAAAAAAATTTAACTTTTGCTTAGCTTCAGCCCACTGTAAGTTGAATGTTTACAATCGAAAGAGTAAAATAACAAGAATGTTTTTGCTATATACAAGAGAGTGGTCGTCTGTATTTGTCGTCCAAAATTTGACTCTTTAGATTTTAAAAATCCTACTTTATTTAATAAAATTGTGTGGGCTAGACCTTTTTAATGTCCTGTAAAATAAAAAGACACTCCACATATTCAGGGATAAATTATGAATTATACTTACTATTTTGCCATCCTCGGTAAAAATTACCGGAACAGACACTCGTTTAATTTTGGCCAGGTACCTGCAGACCTCCGACTCTGTTTCTGTAAGCGATAATGAAAAATTACTGGTACATTCATATGCAAAAAGAGTGGCAGCACATAAGAAGTTTTTTGCACTGGACAAATCACCGTTGCAACCAGAATAAAAGTGACCAGATTCCAAGGCATCCAACCATTATGCTGCATAAATATCAGAAAACTAATTAGCTTTGACTCAAGTTGTGGAAGTGGGCCAGGTGCTTTCAATAAGTCTTTAGATTTTTAGATATTTCTATCTGCCAATAAAAATATGTAATGAATTGCAAGAAATGAGTATTATATATACATTTAAGTGCAGTGCGAGAGAAAATTTTACGTAACGGATTATACACGAGTCTGCATTTAGACGTGTGTTGTTTATATATGGTAGCCATGATGGCCTTGTAAACAAGGGCTTTTAAAAATTGTGCACATCTACTAGCTGCCACCATACTGCTCTTACTGACTGCACTTGTTTAAAGTCGCAACTCTGAGTGCAAGTTTGCACAGAGTTGAGACTTCCACTACGTAGTGCAGCTCCACCGGAAGTTGCTACATGCACGACTGCGCAGAGAACTCATGCCATTTCAGTCACCCTTTTCGGACAGCTCATGTATCCCTGGTGAACATGTTACGCCCCCCCCCTCCCCCCCCCCCCCCCGCTTTCACCCCGCTTCGTGGCAACAGTCTGCGGCTGCTAATTACAAACCTATTAACCCACTTGGTCCCCGGACACGCCCCCTTGTAGCATCCAGCCAGCAACTCGCCGTCCCCGATTGTGCAATCGGGGAAAAATGAAATGCGAACAGAGGAGCGCGTGGCTCACGGTACAGGCTGCACTGCCTGCAAGTGAACCTAGGGGCGAGGGTGCGTGGCCTACTTCAATGTGCTCACGCCCCTCGATTGGCTCTCCCCCAGCTTCGGCAGTGCGCCTCTCAGTGCACTGAAAGCTGTCACCGCTATCTTTGCCTGCTCGGCGAGTGCGGCGAGCTTCTTTGCACCGCACGCGCTGAGCCAGCAAAGATAGCGGTGATAGCTTTCAGCGCACTAAGAGGCGCACTGCTGAAGCTTGGGGGGCGCAGAGGGAGGGTCGTGAACACGTCAAAGTAGGCCACACACCCTCGCTCCTAGGCTCACTTACAGGCGGCGCAGCCTCTACCGCGAGCCATGCGCTCCTGTGTTCGCATTTCATTTTTCCCGGATAGTACCTCTGGAAAGGAATTCCTATACCATTTAGTTCAGCAAAACTTTGTCATTAACAGTTTTGTGTTAAACTCTGGGGAATATGTGCTCCGCACGCCGCCGCACGGAACCGGCAGGTCTAGGCTGACCATATTCCTCAAGCTAGAATACGGGACATCCTAGCGGAAAAGGGGGAGGGAGGGGGGCGTATTAAACTACAAGATTTGGAGAAAATAAACATAATGAAATTCTACATGCGTGCTATATCCAGCAGCTCAAAAAATATTTACGCGTCTTCGCGAGAGTAAGGGTGTTTGTGGGCAAGAACAGTTCTAAATATTACTCTCTGGGTAAAAATTTTAAAGTACCTACGATTACTTTTTGTGAAATATACTTGTACAAACAGGCGTAGTTTCGGTTTGGTTCGACTCGCTCGGTGCCAATTTAGAAACTATGAACTCCTGCGAAAACGGGACATGATTCTATATTAACATAAAAAGACGCGACGGCAGAAGCGAACCTCAAAAACGGGACTGTCCCGGCGGAAACGGGACGTCTGGGCACCCTAGGCAGGTCACGTGATATGGTCTCGGCGTCGGATTGGCTGCGCCTGCTCGTAGGATCGGCCGCGTTCGGACTTATGGTCGAACAAAGCAATACCACGTCCATAACGTTTCTAAACTTGTGCGGGTGACAAACGCAACAAAAGAAAAGTACTCACCTGCAAGGTGTAGGACATGGGCATCGTAATATCCTTCCTCATCACCGTTCGGCATTCTCCAGTAAGCTTTCACGGAAGCCGAAGGAAGGTCGTCGTTCGACTTCGCACAAAACCTCTGTATTAGAGAAACAGGCAGAACGGCCCGCTTCCCGTCTTGAACATATTTGATGTAAGCGTACCTCATCGCAGAAGCCACAAGACTAGAGATAGCGATAATCAAAACAAACCAAATAAACTCCGAGACACAAATGAAATCTGAAACTGAGCGAGGAACAAGGACGAGCAGAAAGTAAAGTCGGTAAAGGGAAACTCAATCGGCTACGGATTGGATCGAATCGAAAAAAAAACTAATGGAAATAAAAAAAGTAAATTAAATTCCTCTCAAAATATTTTTATAATAGTACGCATTAGTGTGTTGTATGTTTTAATTTATACTATTGAACCATATTTTTGTTGAATGAAACAAAATCTCAATCTTGAAATTAACTTTGAGCACTTGTATCGAGACAACAGCAACACCCCCAGTAACAATCTAATCCAAACCAATCCATTTCTAAAGGTACGCCGTTGAGCTGATCGAGCGAGCTACGCCAAGGAGCCAAAGCATGGTGATGTACATAGTTTGCCAGCGAGGCTGCTATGCCCCTACGGAGTTTCTTGTTTCAGTGACATCTTAAAAGCGTTTGTGTCCTTGTAAAGTCTTGAGCCAAGGTTGTCTAGGGGCCCTAGAGCTTCCGCAGAAAATATGGCCAGCGGCGGCGAACCCAAGCGTCGGCGGCTGCGCTATTACGAGAAGGGTAATAGTTTTGATGTTCCAAAGTCGACAATGGCACATTATAGGGCCATCAACTCATCGACGAGTTCCGCAAATACAGAATTGTCTTCTCAAAGCCTGCCATCGACGATTGCTGTCCACATTTCCGACAGCGAGTCGCACACACGAGAGCCTTCGGCTCACTCGGATTCGGAACCCGCCGGATCAGAAAGCCCTCCCGGTGGCACTTACGACGACGACGACGACGACGACGACGACGACGAGTTGTACTCATCCAGTGACGAGGAACACAGCGCAGACGACACTGAGACGGCCGATGGAGGTCAGTACGTCGACGAAAACATCCCTCCACCAGATGCCATGTCGGAAGAGGAATTCCTGGCGGCAGGACTTCGTGAATTCGGATCGGAGACATTGCCGCACTCAACCACCACGAAAGCCGAAGCGGTCGCGCTGATGATGTCCTTCCTATCGGCAAATGGGCTGAGCTGGAAGGGTTTGGACGACCTCGTGAAAATGGGCAACATTTTCTTCGCTCCGGCGGCAGACGTCTTCCCCCGGAGCAAATACTTGTTTCGGAAGTTGTGGGGGTCGAAGACCGAAAAACTGGTAGAGTACCACTATTACTGCAATTCCTGCAGTGACCTGTTATCGTCTCGTGACGGAATGGATTCCCTTTTCTGCCCAACGTGCGAGGAAGAAAACAAAGCCAATGAGCTGAAGAGGAGTGGGGCTTTCTTCGTAACATTGAAAATGCACGAACAGCTGAAACAGGTCATCAGTCAAACAAAGGCCATGCTACATGACAGTCTTACAAGTATGCCATCCAGTGAGCCTGTAGCGATCGCAGACATTACTTCAGCCACGACACACTGCCAGCTACGGGCAAGCGGGCGTCTGGGTGCCAGTGACCTCACCCTCACCGTGAACACCGATGGCAGTCCAGTGTTTTCTTCATCTGGGGCTTCCATTTGGCCCATCCAGTTCACCGTGAACGAACTGCCGGTCCCCCAGCGTTTTGAGCATTGCACCCTCGCAGGACTGTGGTTTGGCGAGGGACACCCAAACATGGCTCTATTCCTCAATAAGTTTGTTGAGGACATCAACAGCATGGAGCCAGTTGCCTGGGAGCACCAAGGGACCCGCCATTCTTCGAGAGCCTTTGTCATCTGCTTCTCCCTTGATGCACCAGCACGATCTGCGGTCCAGAAATGTGTGCTGTTCAACGGTTACTTTGGCTGCCCGTGGTGCTTAATCAAAGGAGACTACATTGAGGGTGAGAATATTACTTTGCAGTTTCGAACTGTAGCAAAGACAATTATTCAGTAACGTATGATTGCATATTTTTGTCTTTGGTGCTAAAGCACAATGTTAAAGGGGTTATGACACGCCAAAAAAAATAAAATATAAGATAACTATACTGCTAGGACCCATTGGATGCTCCTATAATCCTGCTAAATTTGTTTTTAAAATGGCAGAATAGTTTCGATGGGTAAATCGATTTATATGCAGGTCCCTCGGAGGGCCGGATCCGGGCGGAGCTGAAGGCTGGCTACATAGCCAGCCTCCAGCGCGGTGTCTCCTTGCACGCATTCACAGACTTGGCTCTCTTAGCGTCTTGAGCTTCAGCTGCCTCGTTTACCTTCCACATTGCGTGCATGCGGTCCGTGACGATTATGTCTACGGCATTGCTCGCCTTGTCAAAATGTTTGACAATGATCGCAGCAGCGATCAGAGTGATTGCTATCAAGAGATGTTGGAAGCTGTTCAATCTGACTGCGACCCGCTGGCGACCAGCTCCAGCGACGACGAGTTACGGACGAACTCGCCGTGGTCACCACCGTCCGAGAATATCTTGCAGGCGCATGCGGGGTGGAAGGTCAACGAGCCGGGGCGAGAGTGAGAATAGCTTTCGGGTTACCGAGTTGCGTGAGCGGTTTTGATCGTACCACGGCGAGGAGAGCTTTGGTGATCATGGGGGTGCCTAGAACGAGAGAGCGTTCATGGTCATATGGTTTATGGACACCATGGTGTGACTAACTTGGGCAGCGTTGCCTGGTCGCCAGATGAAAGTGATAAAAATTCGTAAATTGAATATTGCAATTACCAGAGCTCTAAAAATTGCATAACTTTGTCTATATACTATGTAGCCTATGAGCATTCCATTTCAAGAATAATCTATCCGTTTAATTTTTGTGTCATAACCCCTTTAGGTGCTTCACATTTGAAAACAAGCCATGTAGCAGAGACATATTTGAATATGTTCTTCTATTCTCCAGAGCCATACAAGCATGTTACACCACATTGATTTACTATCTCCCTTGAAATGTGGGCAGAGAGATATACATATTGCAATCAAATTAACTATTTGGCTCAATAAATTTAAGCAAAAAATGAGCAATGATTTTGTTTGAGTGATTTTTAATTTATTGGAGCTTTTGCATACAAAATCCTAGTTGTTAAGGGCTAGATGCACACAGTGCCTGGTCCATCATACAATATGTTGGAAAGATGGCTGAATCTAAACGCATTCGACATGGGACTGATGCACAATTAAAGGCCAAGTACCTTTAGCGCGATCAAATGCCATTTTTCCGACTCGTCATATGACGTGCTGGGCATTTCATTGTGCATTTTACTCAGGTTACATTTTGGTCGTAAACACGTACCTAACTGAGTATAGAAAGATGAGAATTAGTAACCCTCCGCAAAAGCTAGTCTTTTTTTTACTAGCCGGTATTGAGGTGAAAACGAGTATAGTAGGTTTCCTGAAGTAGCAAACATTGGTGAACAATATATAAGAAAAATGAAGCTGTAAAAAACGAGTGTGCTTGTTCCATTGCAGTGATCAATCCTTCCCCATTGCAAATTTCAGGAAGACATTGTGGCCATGACTGGAGTGTATAGCACAAGTTATCACCCCTATATCACCAAATTTGTACTAGGAGTATAGGAATGTAATAAACTCTTATCAAGGTTGAGGTGCCTAAATTTGTGACCAAAGAGTTAAATTATACTTAATGTAAATGCATTATTTTTTATTAAAAATTGTAAACCAGACTTATTAATCAGTCTTTTTTTTTGTCTTTCTTTTCTCAATTTTGATGGCTTTATTTCACAGCATGCACCTGGCCTATGTATAAATGAACTCTTTATGTATTTTAACTTTTGCTTCACATGATGTGTGCGCTACATCAATTCATCTGATTCACCAGACAGGACAACGGAAGGCGTTCTGAGGGACATGGCCCTTGGTCTAGAGTGCTCTGTGCCCATCAATGGGTACAAGGGCCCATCTCCTACCGTGAAGCTTCCCCACTTTGACCTAGTGTGGGGCTTCACGGTGGACTACATGCACGGCGTGCTTCTGGGCGTTACCCGCCAGATCACCGAGGAACTGCTTACTTCATCAAACTCCCAAAAGAGATACTACATTGGTGAGTTTTCTACACAAAATTATGAATATAGTAAGACATAAGAATATCCTAAAAGTGTGCCCCTTCATGCTCTACTAGCACAAAGTAGCACACTTAGTAGCACTGACTTGTGCAAGAATATCTCGAATGGTTACTCTTTGTGCTATTCAATATTTCATTGGGGCGATGATGGTGAGAGAGGTTGCAAGTTAACTCTACAGAATTTCACATGCTTTGAAAGGGCACTGTCGTCCCAAAACATTATGTTGGCTACCATTGTGCACACACGCACCACAGAAGCACACTGAAACTAGGCTTTGCAACTTTGGAAAAGAGGCTTTGCAATTTTTGCAGGAGTTCATGAAAGCTGCACTATAAAATGTTGGCATATGCTAACTCCAAAAGTACATGAGCAGCAATCAAAAAGCACAACCAGAGCTGCTGACTGTATAAAAGAGCAATGATGCTGAAAGTATTCCACACGTCCACATAGGCTGCATTGCTGGTATTGCCTGCTTCTGCATTCCTTAGCTGTGTGCAACATGACTCCAAGCTGCTGGCACACTCAACAGCACTGCTCTCAGACGAGCACCTGCATTTAGTAGAATGGTATTTAAGCAATCAGCAAATCAGATTGCACTCCTGGGACCGAGTGACATTCGTGGCACTCTCAGCATTCTTAGAGGCACACATTGTTTCACTGATTCCTAAATGCCATTCAGCTGAGTTTAATTTTAAATGCCCATCTGACACAGGTATAACTTTGTTAAGCGCTTCTAATACATATAACAACTGCTAGCTCTGTTTTTTAGCTAGATTAACGTTTTCATCATGGTAGTTTGAAATCGAAACCAAAATAACACTCATTGGATGTAACACAGACTTGAGTCATGAGTAATGAACAGTTCGTTTGACACTGTACTGGCTTTTCCCAGAATTGCATCACGCTCATAGAGGTGCACCGAAAACCAGTCTCAAATAAACTCGCTGAGC